AACTTTTCAGTGAAATTGAAAGGGAAGCAATACTTCCAAACTCATTCCTGGAAGCAAGTATCACTTTTTTTCCCAAACGAGGGAGAGACACAACTAAAAAAGAAAGCTAATGGCCAATCTCCTTAATGAATATAGATGCAAAAATCCTTAATAAGATACTAGCAAACAGAATACAGAGGATCATCAAGAAGATCATACATCCTGACCAAGTCAGATTTATTCCAGAGATGCAAGGATGGTTCAGCATATGTAAGTCAATAAATGTAACACACTATATTCACAAAGTCAAGGACAAAAACCATATGATCCCCTTGATAGTTGCAGAAAAAGCATTTGACAAAATGCAACACACATTCATGATAAAAACCCTGCAAAAAATTGAATTACATGGTCTATATCTCAGCTTAATAAAGGCTCTCTATGAAAAGCCAACAGGCAACATCATGCTAAATGGTCAAAACAAGACAAGGATGTCCACTATCACCACTCCTCTTCAATATAGTTTTAGAAACAGTAGCCACAGCAATTAGACAAGAGAAAGAAATGAATAAGATAGGAAAGGAAGAAGTCAAATTGTCATTATTTGCCGATGACAAGATACTTTATATAGAAGACCCCAAGAATTCCACTGAAAATCTTCTAGACATAATAACCAAATTTAGCAAAGTAGCTGGATACAAGGTCAACACACAAAAATCAATAACTTTTCTGTACACGGAAAACAGACTAAATGTGACAATTCTTTTCACAATTGCATCCAAAAAAATGAAATATCTAGGCATCAATCTAACTAAGGAAGTAAAAGACCTCTACATGGAGAACTAAAACACTCTGAAAAAAGAGATTGAAGAGGATATAAGAAAATGGAAATACATCCCTTGTGACTGGGTAGGAAGAATCAACATAGTGAAAATGGCCATACTACCAAAACTGTTATACAGATTCAATGCAATGCCAATTGAAATTCCAACACTACATTTCACAGAACTAGAAAAAAAAATTGAAAAATTCATTTGGAACCATAAGAGACCTAGAATAGGAAAAGCCATCCTAGGCAACAGACACATGGCAGCAGGTATAACAATTCCCAATTTGAAACTATACTACAAAGCCACTGTGATAAAAACAGCATGGTCCTGGCAAAGAAACAGACCTGAGGATCAGTGGAACAGACTGGAAACACAAAAACAACTCCAAACGTACTCAGCTACCTCATCTTTGAGAAATGAGCTGACCATCCCCACTGGAGGAACAATAGCCTCTTTAATAAATGGTGTTGTTGGAAAAACTGGATCTCAACGTGCCATAGATTAAAACTAGACCCTTATCTTTCACCATGTACCAAATTAAAACTCAAGTGGATTAAAGATCTAAATATTAAAACAGAAACACTGAACTTGCTGGACGATAAGTTTGGCAGAACTCTTGAAGACAATGGCATAGGAAAAGACTTTATGAACAAATCCTCAGTAGCATGGGAACTAGCAGAAAGAATCAACAACTGGGATCTCATCTTATTAAAAAGCTTCTGCACTGCCAAAGAAACCATTAACAGAATTAATAGATAACCTACAATGTGGGAAAAAATTTTACCAGCTGCCCCTCAGACAAAGGACTATTATCTAGAATATATAAAGAACTCAAAGCAATCAGCCCCCTCCCAAATATAAAGACCCAATTCAAAAATGGGCATCTGAAATGAACAGACATTTCTCAGACGAGTAAAAGAAGCAAGTAAATATATGAAAAAGTGTTCCACATCACTGGTCATTCGAGAGATGCAGATGAAAACACTGAGATTCCACGTCACTCCACAAAGAATGGCTGCAATCAAGAAATCACACAATAACAAATGTTGGCAGGGTTGTGGGGAGAAAGGAACCCTTCTCCGTTGTTGGTGGGAGTGCAGACTGGTGCAAACACTATGGAAATCAATATGGAGATACCTCAAAGAGCTGGGATTAGAGGTTGCATTTGCCTGAGCCATCCCTCTGTTGGGTATTTTTCCAAAAGAATTAAAAGAATCATATCACAGTGATATATGCACACCTATGTTTATAGTAGTATAGGTTGTAATAACTAAAATGTGGAAACAGCGCATTTGCTCAACAGTTGGAAACTGGATAAAGAAGATGTGATTTTTCTATAAAATGGAATATTACTCAGCCATAAAGAAGGATAAATTAGATTCATTCATAGGAAAATGGATACATATTGAGGATATACTCCTAAGTGAAATACATAAGTCACAAATCTGTAAGTACCAAATAGTTTCTGTGGTGTGAAAAAGTATAATAGTACATAAGATCCTAATGAGATAATTGACAATGTGAAATAGGAAGAAAAGGGTTAAAGTTGTAGGGAAAGTGTGAAGGGTAGGGGAAAGGTAATAAGGGAAAAGCAAAAATATTAGAAAATGGAAATAAAGTGTTTGTAAATGGGGAGAGGAGGAGGGGGTGAAGGGAGGGCAGGGACAAGGGGAAAAAATGAAAAAGAAGACCTATCATGTATAGGTACAAGATCCCAATAATGAATGTAACTGTACTATATACCTAAAATGTACCAATAAACTCAATTATAAAAAAGAATTTATTCTTTCACTTCTAGGAATGTCAACTGGGTGTATCTGACATGTAGCATGTTGGGAGCTACATTTATTTCCCCCGTATCATACCTGTAACAGTAGGAATAGATGCACAAAAAACACTTGATAAAATTTGACATCCATTCACAAAAAAAGCTTGGCAAGATAGTAAGAGAGAGGAAATTCCTCAATTTAGTAAAGTACTTTTATAATGTTTCTATAGCTAAGAACATATTTAAAGGCGAGAAACTTGACAATTTCCTGCCAAGATCAAGTACAATGCCTGCCTATATAAAACCACTGCCTAACCAAACTTCTCTCCTACAGACTTAAAAAAATTGTGGGGGAAAAATCTTATAATAAGATTTGTAATAAGCAGATATAGGAAAGCTTGCCAACTTGACATTTTATTTTTATTTTTTGTAGTACTGGAGATCCAATGCAGTACCTTGCAGTTGCCATGCAGCTACAGTGCCACTGTGCTAAATCCCTGGTCTCCACTTGATATTTTTAAAAACAAAGGAGCAGTGATACTTATTAGTCAACATAAATTAATTTTGAGTGTTTTCAGAAGAGTACATACTTAAATACAAGGTGAAAACTTCTGATTTTTTATAATTAAACAGCCCTCAGATGATTTTCCTTAAGCCAGGAATTTGGCAAGTTTTTATTGGCTCCAAAAAAAACAAAGGCAGACTACAATAACAAAAATTTAGAATTCAATGTATTATTTTGCTTAAACATCTCAGTGACTTATCCATCATTTATTTTAATTTCTAATAGTTTTTATTAGATTGACAAAATTAAAAATAGGCTCTTTTTCTTCCTCTAGAAAGGTAAGACCTTCAGTTCTTCTGTGTGAACCCACTGAGAGTATCTATTCAATTAGTACAATAGTTTTCATTATATATATATCAATTTATATATATGATTTTTTTTTTTACCTGGGATCAAACTCGGACCGTTGTGATTACAAGGCTTGTGGCTTGTGGCAGAACCACTGTGCTTAATTCCTGGCCCAATTTTTATTAGATTTTAACATCTTAGTCATCGCTCCAACCTGTGTGCTTTTCAAAATTCCTTTATTTGGCTAATTTAGCAAGTTTTCATAATGCCCAAATTATTTCGAGTTATTCATCAAGGGTTTATGAGGGAGGAGCTGGTCTGAACTAGCCACTTTGTACGTGTGAAACTTGTTTATTTTCATTAACAAAATAAATCTAAATCCCTTGGCATCTTCATTTATGCTTCTTTTGTACTGCAGTTACCGAAGGTCTTTCAAGGAGTGGCTTCTGAATTTCAGGAAAGAGCTTTAGGTATGGGTGGGTACTAAATAATTTTATGTGTTTTCAAAATGCAGTGGGAGGTGTTTTCTTGAAAGATTACCAAAATTAAGAGAAGTTGGTAAAAAATTACACAGCATGTCCTATGCTGTTCCTATAAGCCCAGTGTATATTTTCCAAGTTAAGTATTGAATTTCTTCACTTTGTTAGCTTGTGAGCTACTACAAGGTTATATTGTAGCCTAACAACCAACATTGGCCTCAAAACTTTGTACTCATTGTTAGCTATTTTTATTGTCTGCAGAACCTCCCTTTTCTTCATTTGGACCGTCCCGTGGCTTTCTTAAAGCTCCATATCAGATTGCAGTCCAACGATACCCCTAAAGTCTTCTCTTTGGCCATTCGTCATCCATGCCCCATACCCCCATCAGTAAACGAGGGAATATATTTTACCAACTCTAAGCGAAAGTAACAAAACGCGAGAGCTTATCTCCACGTTTGGTTTAAACGCATCAGCCAAAGCTATCAGTCGTAAACCTTTCAACTTTCTCCCCACAGCCTCCCTCGGTCCATTAAATCTTGGGCCTAAATTTAAATCAGTCCCCTAACTCACACCTTCTATCAACCCAAGTTCCTCTTCCCAGTCCTGTTTCCCAAGGGCTCCAAAACTAAGGTTGTTTCTTTTTTCGCGCCGGAGCCGGTACGATGAGTGTATCCTCATCTAAGGCTGGCGACTACGGGCCAGAGAACCTCCGCGGGGGATTCCGCCTTCCTCTAGCAACCGCCCCCCTCTCGCTGGAGCGCCACTTCCGGGTCTCATGTGTCTCCACCTTACCGGTCCGCGCCTCCCCGGGGCACCTTGTAGCGCTTTGGCCTAATCACTAGCAGGCTCAGATGGGGACACAGTTTAACTGAGCGTGAGTTCTCCAAGAAGATGCACTGAATATCTTCGATAGCCGAGAAAACCCAGTCGGACTGAGCAGTCGCCGGGTGGCGATGGTGGCCCACGCGGGGCCGGGGGCAGTTTGTTTTGAGCACCCGGCAGTTTACACCCGGAAGTTGCGCGAACACCAGCTGCGCCGCTGCCAGGGGCTGGTGTCAGGCACTCCGAAGAGGACTAGACCGCGCAGCATCCGGTGTGAGTGGCAGCTGAGGGCGGCGGCGGGAATGGGAGCGGCCGGAATGAACTCTGGTTTTATGGCAGTGGATCGGGCTGGGTTCCGGGAGGCTAGGGCCTTGCGATGTGGTTGAGCTGCAGCAGCCAAAAGTAGCCCGCTTCCTCTCCCACTCCAGGGAACCCGTTCTCCTTGCACCACCACCTCTTCCTCTCCTGCCGAGCGAGTGGCTCCGGTGAGCAAGTTGTGGCCGGAGCTGGGAGACCACTTCAGTATTCTTGGCTTCTGAGAGGAGGCGACAGTCCGCTTTTCGGCCTTTCCAGCCTTTCTTGAGAAAAACAAAAAAATTTTTTTCCCTTCGCTATACCTTTGACTCACTTCTAACGTTGCTGTCTTCATCCCTTTCAGCGCCTGCCTTGTAACCTTAAAATATGCTGGAGTCCTATGTAACCCCAATTTTAATGAGTTATGTGAATCGCTATATCAAAAACTTAAAGCCTTCAGACCTACAACTTTCTCTATGGGGTGGAGACGTGGTTCTCAGCAAGCTCGAGTTAAAGCTAGATGTTCTGGAACAGGTAAGTTTGTAGCTGTCATTGACTAGACACATTTACCGCTTGTTTAGAAATATTCTGTTAACCATACTTTTGACATTGTGCCATAAAAATGTTATTTTCCTGCTAATGTATTTTGAGCTAGCCCGGGCCTTAACAGTGTTTTAAAAATGGTTTCTCTTGAGAGCTTATTACAGGAAGTTACAAATGATAAGAAAATTTCATTGTTGTTGTCAAATTGTTAAGCTTCTCAGCCATTACTGCTATGCAAATAAATGTACATTGTTGAAATTCTATACAAAGCCGAAAGTGTTAGATTTCTGTTTTCCTTTTTGAGCAGTGGCCCAGTCTGAATGACAGCAAGGTTAGCTCTTGAGGAAAAGTTCCGTCTTACAAGGAAAGATGACATCCATGGCATCTGCAGAGAATTGAGTAGAGAATGACAGTAAAATTTGAAACTTCTTTATTCACTTTTTAAAGTTTCTTTCAACATGCAAATTTTTTGGTGCAAATGAACGGTAACTTCAAAGTTCATATAACCAGCATATTTATTAGGGATATATGTCAAGCAATTCTGTTATGCTTGAGGGTACGAAATACCTGTGGATGCTCAAAAGAGAGACCAACCTGCTTCTTTTTAGTAAGGGAAGACTTAAACTGATGGTTGTGGTTATTAAGTTTTATATTTCATTTCCTCTGTTATTGAATACAGTAGGCTTCTAGAAAACTGGCTCCTTTCCCATTTTCCCCCAAGGTTAACTGTCTTAATATTTTCATTAATAAATTCTCAAATGAGCACAGGATATATATAACACCTCACTTTTTAAATATGTGTACACCGGTGCACCTACCATCCAAATTAAAAAGCAGTAGAATATTTCAAGCACCTGAAGAGGCTTTCTTCTGCCACTTTGTAAGCAGTACTTTGCACTCATAGAAGATGTGACTTCTGTTTTGACTTCTTTCAAGATAGATATATTTCCCTTGTTCTATGAACCTTATCTAAACTGGATCATTTGTGTCTGACATCTTTTTAAATATTATGGCTCAGGTTAGTGCATTTTATTGGATGAATGTTTGTTTTGTAAGTTGCCTTTAGTATTATGTTGTAGAAAGATTCTACAATTTATTTACCTATTCTACTAATGAACATTTGGGTTGTTTATACTCTTTTGGCTGTTATGAAGAAAGCTTCCATGAACATTCTTGTAAATGTATCTTGATGGACATACGTATTTCTCATAGGTGGCTACCTAGGAGGTAGGCATATATTTAGGATTAATATGTACTGCCAAATAGTTTTCCAAATTGGTTGCATTAATTCATAGTCTCACTAAAAATGTATGAGAGTTCTATTTATTTCACATTTTTACTATTATTTGTTATGTTTGTTATTTTAATTTTAGCCTTCCTGATGAGTGTGTAGCGGCAGCATTTTCCTAAAGTATAATGATGAACACTTTCATATGTTTATTGGCCATTTGGATATCCTCTTTTGTAAATTCTTTATTTTGCCTTTAAAAAAATAAAACTTGGGACCAGGAGTTTAGCTCAGTGGTTCTGCCTCCTGCCTTGCAAACACAGGGTCCTGAGTTCGATTTCTGGTACCAAAGAAAAAAAAGAGAATGTGACTTTTAAGGGTCTAGGGATATAGCTCAGTGGTTCCGCTGCCTGCCTCACAAGCATAAGGACCCAAGTTCAATCCCCATACCAAAAAAAAGAATAAAAAATAAAACTTGTTTTTCTGACTTTGTCTTTTTCATATTTATGTTTGGGAGTTGTTTTTCTTTTAGTTCTTTTTCAAATATATGTTTTGCAGTATCTTCTCATAGTTTTTAACTTGCATTTTTACTGTTGTTAAGGGTTTCTTGGCTGGCAGAAATTTATGATTTTATCGATGCCCAGTGTATCAGTGTTTTCTTTTATTGTCAGTGCTTTCCATGTCTTAAGAAATCTTTGCCTCTTTGGCTTGTCTGTCGCTTTTTGGTATGTTCTTTTGGATCGTTTATGTATACTTTTATGCCTTTTATAAGTCTAATTTTATATCTTTTTATCCAATGATTATAACTTTTATTTCTTTTTCTTATTTCACTGGCTAGGACCTCATATAATGCGGAGTAGAGGCATTTTCTTTATATTATACTAATGTTAGCTGTGAATACCCTTTATTGGTTCAAGAAAATTTTATTCTTGGTTTTGTAATAAATTTTAAAAATATCAAATAGAGCTGCGTGTGGTGGCGTACACCTGTAATCCCAGCACTCCGGAGGCTGAGGCAGGAGGTTCGCTGTGAATTTGAGACCAGCCTGAGCTACATAGTGAGTTCCAGGTCGGTCTCAACTACATAGTGAGACCCTGTCGCAAAAAACAAAAACAAAAACAAAAAAATCAAATAGGTGTTGAATTACCAAATGTTATATTTACTGAATTCCTATCTTTCTGTTTTGTTAATGTGGAAAATTACATTAAGTTTGTTAAACTAAGCTAGCATTCCTGGAATAAACCTCAGTTATTATGTATTATCCTTTTCAGATATTGTTGGATTTTATTTGTTTAGTTTTGTTCCTGTGCTTGTGACACTAGCTTATTTTTCCTTGTTGTAATATCCTTACTAGGTTTTGATTATCAGATATATTGGCTCATTAGATTATTTGTGAACTAGTCCCACTTTTTATAATCTCTAGAAAAAGTTTATATAATATTGATATTGATATAATACTGATTTTATTGTAAAATATATAACAAAATTTATCAACTTAGCTAGCCATTTTTAAAATGTACAGTTCCAGGGTATTAATTACATTCAGATTGTTGTATAATCATTACTTCCATGTATACTTACTAGTACTTTTTCATCTTCCTAGAGTGAAATTCTTACTCATTAAGTGCTAACTCTCCATCTTTTCTTTTCACCTTCCAGCCTCTTACGGACCACCATTTTACATTATGTCTCTGTAAATGTGACTATTCTAGATATGTAAATGGAATCAAAGTTTGTCCTTCTGGTTTATTTCACTTAACACAGTGTCTTCCAAGTTCATCCTTATTGTAATGTGTGTAAGCATTTTCTTTGTTTTGAAGGCTGAACAATATTTCATTGTATGTATCTACCACATTTTGTTTATTCATTTATCAGTGAACACTTGGGTTATTTCCATCTTTCATTTATTGTGAATAATGCTGCTATGAACATAAGTGTAAAAATATTTTATTGAGACCCTACTTTCAATTCAGTTGTATACCAAGAAGTGGAATTGCTAGATTGTATGGTAATTCCATATCTAAGTTGCTGAGGCACTGTGATAATATTTTCTATAGGGACTGCACATCATTTTGAATTCCTACCAGCAATGCACAAGAATTCCAGTCACTCCATATCCTTTCCAACACTTACTATTTTCTGTTTTTTTTTTTTTTAGGTTTAATTGAGTTTATTGGTACATTTTAGGGATACATTACAGTTACATTCATTGTTGGGATCTTGTACCTCTACATGACAAGTCTTGATTCTCATTTTTTCCCCTTACCCCTGCCCTCCCTTCACCCCCTCCTCCCCTCCCCATCTACAAACACTTTATTTTCATCTTTTCATTATCTCACATTTTTTTCTTTTCCCTTATTACCCTTCCCCTACCCATCCCACCTTTCCTACACCTTTAGCTCCTTTCTTCCCATTTCTAAATGTCAGTAATCTTATTAGGATCTTATGTATTATTGCACATTATTCACACCAGGGAAACTATTTGGTATTTACACATGTGTGCCTTATTTATTTCACTTAGGAGTATATCTTCAATATGTATCCATTTTCCTATGAATGAATCTATTTTTCTGTTTTTTTTATTATTGTCATCCTAGTGGGTATCCTAATGGTATCTCATTGTAATTTTAATTTTCAGTTCTTTCATGATTAGTGATGTTAAGCATATTCTTGCGTATTTTTTGGCTATTGTCATCTTTGGGGAAGTCTCCCAAGTCTTGCCCATTTTTGAACCAGGTTCGCTTTATTGTTGTTGTTGAGTGTAAGAGCTCTTTATGTATTGTGGATATCAGTCCTTTATCATATACATAATTTATAAATATTCTTTCCTATTTTTGATGCTTTTACTCTACTTTTAATGTCCTTTGATACAAAACAAGTCTTATTTATTTATTTAGGCAGTGCTGGATATTAAACCCAGGGCACTCTACCACTGACTGACATTTGCAGCCCTTTATTTTTAATTTTGAGACAGAGTCTCCCTAATTTGCCCAGGCTGCCTTTAAATTTGTGATGTTCCTTCCTTAGCCTCCCGAGAAGCTGTGACTATAGGTGAATGCCACTGTGCCAGATTGGCCAAAAGTTTTAGATTTTGGTGAATTTCAATTTAGCTATTTTTTTCTTCTTTTTACCTGAGTTTTTCATGTTGTACTCAAGAAATAATTGCCAGTGCTATTCATGAAGCTCTCCCCTTGTGTTTTCTTCTAATTTGCAGAAGAAGGATTGTTCAGCTGTGGTCTGAGACTGTTTAGGTGTAGGTCTTTGATCCTTTTCAAATTAATATTTGTATATAAGAGTCCAATTTTTTAAAAAACCTGAATATTCAGTTTTACCAGCACCATTTGTTGAAGACTGTCCTTTCCTGTTGAATGATCTTGGTGCCCATGGTGAGAGTTATTTGATATAAAGAGTTAATTTCTGGGCTTACACTACTCATATTCCATGGTCTCTATGTTTTCTTTTGTGTAAATCACATTGTTGTGATCATTGAAGCTTTTAGTAAGTTTTGGAATCTAGAGGTGTGTGCCCCACCCCTGCCTTTGTTTGCTTTTTTTTTTTTTGAAACGGGTTCTTGCTGTGTGATCCAGCCTGACCTTAAACTCACAGTGTAGCTCAGGCTTGCTTTGAACTTTTGGTGATCCTCCTTCAGTTTGAGTGCTGGGATTAACAGGCATGTGACACCATGCCTGACTTGTTTGTTTTTGAGGCAGAATTTCTCTATGTAATTTCAGGCTGTTTTGAACTCATTATCCTCCTGCCTTAA